AGAGATAAACGTGTTCAAGCTTGAAAAAATTCTCTCTTTCTGAAGAAATGACAAGCAATGCACATCATAAAATTCCATAATGACCTCTTTTACAGTAATGAATGGAGGGGGAAGATTGATGGGGTGGAAATACTGCACCACCCCACGTCCCTGTCTTTAGTATCTCTGTCTTCATGTCATTGAGTGCGCCCCTATTCTCCCCCACACCCAGCAGGGTCGGGTCAATTGTCATGTGTGTGTGTGTGTGTGTGTGTGTGTGTTCCTGTGTGGGTCTGTTACCATGGGAACCAGAATAATATCCCCTACAACCCAGGGTTTGGTACCTTTTCCTGTCAGGACTCAGATCACCATGATTTCTGTTGGGAAAACCTTCAGTGCAGTGTGGCTGTCTGGGATTTTGAGGGGTTTGAGACAAGTGAGCAAGCAGTTGAAATAACAATGGACTTGTTGAGGAGAAAATGCAAGAGGAAACCAATGAAGGTTTCCTCCTCAATCAAAACTACAATTAATTAAATTTCAAGCATCTCAGTCTGTCCTAAACTCTCAACAACAATTATCCTTTTATTCCTGGTGATTTGTGTGCACACATTTTTTACTCCTGTGCTATTATTCAAATCCGTCTTGTGCATTGTATTCTTAGTCTTTGCATTCAACTCAATCATAAAATAAATTATTGGAAAACTAGGAACATATATTCAAGGAAACCCTTTGAATATGTGTTTTTTGGCCTTAAAGGCTGATTGACTGCATTTTTATTTTTATTATTTTGTGATCCTTGATAACAGGACTGATATCAAGTTTATAAATATCTTGAAGCATTTCATGAAATTCAAATAACAAAGAGTTTGCCTTTGACTCTGGTTTAAAGACATGCACCCAGTGTTCTTTGTGTTGCACTGTGAAGTGCACTCATTTGGCACCAAAAGTGCAGTGATTTTTACTTATTCGTGCATATTGTGAGTTGTTAGGCAAGCACACCATCACAGATGTATTTTTGTTAGTATCTCCTAGAGTTTTATCCACTACCTTAAAATTGAATGAACCTCATGAAGGGACCCTACAACCTTGTGAAGGTTAAATATTAATTGTTAAGCTAGTAAAGTGCAGAGAAGAATATCATCAGAATTATTCCAGTTTTTCAGTTGAAGCAAGAGTTTGCTGAGTAGTTGATTATTTCTTGTGAAATATATTCTTACTCTCAACCCAGGAATTTTAAGAAGGAATTCTGGTCCCTGTCTTGGGCTCATTATTGTCTTTCATTTACCCACTTTTTACTCTTTTGATCCAGCTTCACACCAACTTATATTGAGGCAACATTGGTCCCCAATATGAGTGACACCTCCAAGAGGTTGTTTGAAACCTCTACAAGGTTGAATTCTCCCATGCAAATCAGTGGTGATGATTTCTGGCCACTAGCATCTGTGTGCAAGTGCAACTGTGTGCATGTGCAGATTCCTGTGAATTATTCCATATACAAATCCTTCAAGTTTTAATCCCTGATAATCCCCTCATCTTGAATTTTTTTTAATTGTTCAGGGAGAGCACTCTGCATACTCTATAGTTTGTTTATTAAAGAGCCATCCAACAAGTTTCTACAGGTACGGAACAATTCAGAGAGAGTTGGATACACCTCATTTACAATCAAGGTTTATTGCTTTCGCCTTGTGTCTGAATAAATTACACATGTGAATGTATTAGTGTATCTGAAATTTCCTCAGATGAACATATAACCAGTGCCAGGAACATCCTGGTACCTCAGCATATTTGACAAGAACTTCTTCTATTCTGATTATAAAGTAAAACCTGTTGAAGGTTAAATATATTTGATAGTATATAAGCTGCATCCTTTTCATACTCTCATTTAGATCAGTTCAGTTTATCTGAGTTATTCCAAGTTATTCACATTACTCGATCCTACAAGCCCAAGCTTGTTGAGTTGTTATTCATTATATTCATGTGAAATACACTTTATCCCTTAAACTAGGAATTCTGAAACAGAATCCGGGTCCTGTCTTGGACTGACTAACTTGTTTTATTGTCCAACAATCAAATACTCCACACTAACTTATATTGAAGACATTTGTCCTCAATACTCTTCATTCCAGGCTTCAACTTGCTACCAAATTTCATTAAATTATTAACCCAAATATTGAGTTAAAAATGATTGAAAGTGTTTCTGTGAGCTGATGGCATGATTCTTTTCATGTGAGGTGATTATACAGAGATGCCCTCAGTTCCCTAAAATGCATTTCCTTTGGTTTCATTGGCACAATGAAAATTTAGCCTTCAGAGCCTTATCAACTGCAATATCACAAGTTGTTTGAGTGGCTGGAGTATATTATTTTTGTAGCTCTGACATTTATTTTGATTCATTTTTATTCCCATTTTTGGGAGATTTTTTTAAAGCAATGCATTCTTGAGAAGTTGTGCAGTTTCTTGTAGTAGCATGTTTATGAAATATAAATGGTGTATTGTAGGCCAATGAAGGCTATTTATTTGGTTGACACCCACCAAATTGAAGGTTAAATATAATTCTGAGTATATAAGCAGCTCATCTAGATCAGATAAACATCAATTGTGATTTTTTACTCAAGTTATTCATTATTCCAACTTATCCTGCAAGCTGCAAGAAGAGTTTGCTGAGTTGTTCATCAGTTTATCTTGTGAAATAAATTTATCCTGTTGAAGTAGGAATTCCTGGTCCTGTCCTGGACTGATAGCTGTGTTTTACTGCATTACTTGATGCTCAACATCAACTTACATTGTGGTGACATCTGTCCTCAATAATGCTTCTCTGGAATTGAGAATATACAGTATACCATAACCATGTGATAACTGCGGCATTTTAAATTTTATAAGCCATGCATTGTTAACATCTGAATTGGTACAAAATTCTGATCTCTTCATTTAATTTAAACCTTCTGATTAAAGGTGTAAGAACCATCAAAGGTTGAATCTAATTCTGAGTATATGAGCAGCTCATCTAGATCAGATTATCATCATTTGTGATTTGTTACTCAAGTTATTCATTATCCCAACTTATCCTGCAAGCTGCAAGAAGAGTTTGCTGAGTTGTTCATCAGTTTATATTGTGAAATACATTTATCCTGTTGAACTAAGAATTCCTACAAGGAATTCCTGGTCCTGTCCCAGACTGATTACTGTGTTTTATTGCATTACTTGACACTCAACGTCAACTTATATTGTGGTGACATTTGTCCTCAATAATGCTTCTCTGGAATTGGGAATATACTGTATACCATAACCATGTGATTAATGCGGCATTTTAAATTTTATAAGCCATGCATTGTTAACTTGGTATTGGTACAATGGTACTATGAATTGGTACAAAATTCTGATCTGTCCATCTAATTNCCTGCAAGCTGCAAGAAGAGTTTGCTGAGTTGTTCATCAGTTTATATTGTGAAATACATTTATCCTGTTGAACTAAGAATTCCTACAAGGAATTCCTGGTCCTGTCCCAGACTGATTACTGTGTTTTATTGCATTACTTGACACTCAACGTCAACTTATATTGTGGTGACATTTGTCCTCAATAATGCTTCTCTGGAATTGGGAATATACTGTATACCATAACCATGTGATTAATGCGGCATTTTAAATTTTATAAGCCATGCATTGTTAACTTGGTATTGGTACAATGGTACTATGAATTGGTACAAAATTCTGATCTGTCCATCTAATTTAAACCTTCTGATTAAAGATGTAAAAACGATTGAAGGTTGAATATAATTCTGAGTATATGAGCAGCTCATCTAGATCAGATTACCATCAGTTGTGATTTGTTACTCAACTTATTCATTATTACAACTTATCCTGCAAGCTGCAAGAAGAGTTTGCTGAGTTGTTCTTCAGTTTACCTCGTGAAATAAATTTATCCTGTCAAACTAAGAATTCCTACCAGGAATTCACAGTCCTGTCCTGGACTGATTGCTGTGTTTTATTGCATGACTCAGCACTCAACATCAACTTATATTGTGGTGACATCTGTCCTCAATAATGCTTCTCTGGAATTGAGAATATACTGTTTACCATAACCAAGTGATTACTATTGCATTTCACATTTCATGAGTTACGCATTGTTAACATCTGAAATGGTACCAAATTCTGATCTCTCCATCTGGAAATGTTAGGGCTTGCTTTTGTTGTGTTTTTAAACTGCTTAATGATGCAGGGTTTCCAGATTAAAGATGGGGAGTATACCAGGACAATTTATGGTCTGGTGAGTACTACACAGCCATCTTTGCTGGATTCACTGAATCTCCTCTGTTGGAAATTTGTGCTGCAATAATCAAATGCAGTTTTCATTTTTTTCAGAACTGTTGCACCACATATGAAAAACTTGAAAGGTTACATGTATTTAAGGGAAAAGGCCTCATTTTATTATTTTAGTGATAATCATTATAATCTCAAGTGTAATACATGCCATTTATTTTTGGTAAACTATTTCAACAGAAAAAGCTGAAGGCAATCTAAAAAAATCAGCTTTACTTTCACTCTCAGAACAATATTTTATTGCTACAACTTTTCCTTGAAATGTATTTCATACTCCATTAGAAACATTGTTGATTCCAATTGCAGATAAAGGATCAGAGGTACAACGATGCAGCCCAGATTCTCACCTACATCTTGGAGAACAATCCAACTGTAAGTTCTACATTGATTTCCTAACTTCATTTTTCATTTACAAGAAATTCTCTTTGCAGTCACGTGCAGCATTGTCACTCCTGGGATACAGCTACTTTTACATGCAAGACTTTGTGAATGCTGCCAACTGCTATGAGCAACTTTCACTGCTATATCCAGAGTACCTTCTCATGTAGTAAGAAATACGGGTCAGTGACATAGTCCGTACAGACATACTCCTTCGGATGTTTCATTGCACGTGTCACCTTTCGGGTCTCAAAGTCCCTTTTCACTCTATTAAGAAAACACAATTTTTTCCAAATTTCTCTGAATGCATTTGCAGTAAATTTTTAGAAGTATAATTCCAAGATGTGGTATTATCTAAGAAATGTAGCGTAGGAGAACCTCTGAAAGGCTCTGTTGTGACCATTCAAGGCTATATTCATTCTTTTTTCCTTCACATGGACCTCTAGGTTGTATACTTGAAATGATATGATTAAATTGATATGGCCAGAGAAATATACACTGTAGTACTTGAAGGTTCTGTTCAATCCCTTGAAGGGGGTATTGCGACCTTTCGTTACGGACAATTCGTAACAGCGACGTTTCGTTACGAGCGACTTTTCGCTACATGCGACCTTTCATTACGGCGACCATTCAGTACTGCGACTTTTTGTTACGGGACTATTG